CGGAGGCCATTTCTGTCCATGGGGAACAGATCCCCAGAGACGCTATTGCTCCATGTCCCCGTGAGAGCGTTGGCTCTGCCCCTGCTCGGCCGCTAGGATGCACACATAGCGGTGTGCAGGAAAGGTTCTCCTTACCTAGGGAGTGGGGTGCCTGGAAGTTGAGGCAGTTCTGGGGATTCACGCCTGGGTTTGCCAGCCAGGCCGGCACTCACAAGCTGAGTGTCTGAAAAAACCATCTTTCCTCTCTAGCCTTTGGATTTCTTAGGTATAAAACAAGGACAATAATAGTTGTTACTTAGTGGGATAAAGCTAATACATGCGACCATACTTCCCCTGCAGATGTAAGTGTTTACTCTCGCTGGTATTTGTGGACGACATGAGTGGTCTGAGCGTCAGGGTCAGCATTCGTACTAGCATAAACCTAGGCCTGCTTCGAATGGCCACACTAGTTCACGGTGAAAATGAAAAGGATCCACCATCTTAGTAACAGCTTTGAAAGTGAAGAAAGTTGGGGTTGTGTGTGCGTGTGTGTGGTAGACTTGTGGGTACTGTGGAGCGGCACTGTCCCAAGTGCTGGGACACAAAGGAAGGGATTACTAACCCTATTAGGGAGTAGAGAAAGCTCTCAGAGGATATGACGTCTGCATTAGCTCATGGCCCAAAGGAAAGACAAACACAAAGGCACGGAATCTTGGCAGAGCTTGGCTTGTTCAAGGAACAAGTTCAGAAGAACAGGAAGCGGGGAGCTTGGAGGAAGTGGCATGACGAGTGGTGGAAAGGCAGTCCAAGCTAGCCCCCCAAGACCCCCCCAGACACTCTGCCATAGCTGGCCCCTAACTCCACGTGCTATAGCACGTGGGCAGCGTCTCTGTGTTCAGACATCCTCATGGCTATGTGTCTGCCCAAGGCCCTGGGAAGGGGAAACACACAGGTGAAGAAAGCAGGAAAGGAACCCAGAAGACAGGCAGGGGCGCAGGGAAGGGAGCTGATGAGGCTGTTTGAGAAACCAGACCTCTGATGACCTCCATGGTCTCTGCTATGAGCCCTACCAGGGCGACCTCCTTCAGTCTGAAATGCCTCCATGGCAATGGGCCATGGAAGCTGAGGGTGGAGATAGTTCTTGGCGCGGTACGCCATGGTCTGGTACATATCACAGCTTCCCTTGGAGGCCTCCCTGCGTGTGCTGCCTGTCACAGACGAAGAGGTCCGTGGGGCCCCCATCGGCATGGCCCGCTTCTGACTTGTTTTCCCGAAAGTGCGGCTGGATTTTCTCAGTGCCATCTGCTCAATATCACTGGCCACCCCGCCCGCCATCTGTTTACAGGCTGTTAGACAGCTGGCTGGGGAGAGGGGACACTGTGTGACCATAGAATGTACAACACCAACTGCCTCCAATGGGAGGGACCCCGGGCCTTTACCTCACTTGCCCTGGGACCGAGTTGAGAAGATGGACCCAGGTTAGCATCCGCTGTGCGCTTGGTCCACAGCAACAGCAAGAATGAATCCAGGTGACCTGCTGGGCGTCTAGTAGGCACCAGGTACTGTGCGAACATCTCATTTAATCCTGGGAGCAACCTGCAAGATAGGAGTTGTCAGTCTGCTCTTGTAGACGAGAAAACTGAGGTTTAAGAAGTGAGGGAAATTGCCCAAGTGTCACAGGCAAGTGACAGAGCCAGGAACTGAACCTTGTCTCATTTCAGAGGCACAGAACCCTCTAAATGAGAAAGAATACCATCTTCCTGGTATATATATCATATGGGACCCTTTGGGGCCAGGATACACCTAACTGGCCTCAGACCTGCCCAACCCTCGGGCCTGCTGCACTGCCATGACGGTCCACTGGCTGCTCCCCAGCGCCCCCTCCTGTGATGGTTGCACAATGACAAAATCGTCTAACACCCCATTTTTCAGAACACGTCACCATCGTTAACCAATGCTTTGACCACATGTAGTTTTTTACACAAATAGGAGCAAAACACACTTATGGTGGCAGTTCCCCACCCCCCTCACCCAACCCCACCCTGGCCCTAGGGCTATTCTCTTCTTTTCTGCCTGCTCCACATCTGGGAGCATCTCCATGGTGCCCATGGCCTCTGGCTTCTGGGTTGGGTGGTCAGTGATGGGCACTAGCAGGAGATGGAAGGGCAGGCAGAGAAAGAGGCCAAAGTACCCCTTTTCTTCTTCCCTCTCCTGCTTCTGCCCACCTCCCTGTGGTTCTCAAAGTGGCCAGACTCTTCTGAGGCCATCTGAGGTCACAGACCTTGTTGGGCCCTTCTCCCACAGCTCCAGCTCCGGCTAGAATCCAGCGACCATGTCCCCTCCCCGGCCCCTGAGGCCAGTGTGGCAGTGGCTCCTGTGTTTCTGTTCCTCGGGTCTTTCACTGCCCCTGCTTGTTCCTTTACCCCTGTCCCAGCACTGTGCCTGGCCCTGTCATGACACCATTTTCTTATCTTTCTACACACTGGAGGTGCCCTCTGCTTTCTGGGGAAACCTGGTGGCAACCAGGAACATCTTTTGGTGTGAGTACCTACAGGTCTGTTCACAAGGCATGTGAAATGCTTATTGCTGGGGAAACGATAACGTAAGAGTTTCAAACTTCAACTCACTTAAAATGCAAATGGTGGGAATGGCTGTGGAGAGCATGCACGATTGCAATGGCAGAGATGAACTGAGGGGCCTCTTTGAATAGAGTGGGTCTAGCCAGTCCTCGGAAAGGCTGGTTGGTCTCTGGCCATACGTGCAGACTGCAGTCAGTCTCACTCATCCGTGTCCTGTTGGTGCACACTTAGGTTGTGCCCCTCATGCCACTACTTCAAACAGTGCTGCACACTCTTGCCCCTGAAATCTTTGTGCCTTTGTCCTAACATCCAGAAAGGAAGTTCCCACATGGAACTGCTAGACTGAGGTGTGAGTAGAGTTGACATTCTCTAGATTCACTTAAATGATGTTATGTGGCTGCCTCTCTCTCTCTAGAGAGGCCAACCACCATGTTTGCCCTCTCAGGAGCCAGAAGAGGGCTTGTCTAGGAGTGAGGGCTTGGTGGGACCCAAGTCCACCCAGCCTTCCTGGAAGTAAAGGCACGCTGTAGAGATCCTCATGTTATTTAGAGTGGCAGTCACGGGGCGTGCCCTCCATGGCCTCTGGGCCCACTGTGGCTGTCTTTCTTCCAAGCAACCTTGGAGTTGATATGAGAATGTTATGACCAAATACCAGAGAGATTTAAACATGAGATCCAAGGGGAAAGCCTGCAAGCCATGACTGGCTCAGTCTTCCTGGTCATTTTGTTCAAGTGAGTCAATATTTAAAGAGCACCAGCCCTGTGCTAGGTTTAGCTGGGGTTTGATGAAAAGCTACCCCTCCACTCCAAGAAGCCCACGGTCTCGTGAGGAGAAGGTAGTAGGGAGTGGGGGAGTTAACACAGTGGTTTCCAAATCTGTCAAGACGTGCTGCAGCAGAACCGTCTGGGAGGTTTTCAGAAGTCTGGGTTTCTGGAGCCCACTGGGTGCTGTCAGGTCAACAGGTCCGCAGTAGGGTCTGGGACCCTACAGTTTAAAAGCCCCTTAGGTGACTCTGACAGCCAGGGCTGGTGTGAACTGTGGCTACTGTAGATGTCTACACAGTACAGAACACGGTCTCTTGTGTGATACAGAAGTGGCCAATTTATGTGACCCAAGAGCTGAGCTGGTACTCTGTGTAGCCTGTAGTTTGGACTTGTACATTTAAAAAAAATGAAATTAATTTTCAGGTTCTGAAAATTAAGAGGTCGTTCACTAAAATCCAGATTTTATCTTATTAAAAACTACTGACTACCAGCTACAACACTTGGCCTGTTAAATGAGGCGTGTAGTCTTCAGGTTCACATAATCCCCAGCATTCCCTAATCTCTCTGTCCTAACATTGTCGATTGCCATCTTGTCGGTAAACTCTTTGCTGTTGTAGTTGAGCTTCAGGAAAATGAAATATCTCTTGTCCTTTCATCTGTATCAAAAATTTAACAATGTCAGACAGACCAAGAAATGCTTTTTTGTTTTATTTTAGTAAGAGAGCATTTGTCTTCATGGAAGTGTTCGATAGGCACATCGCATGTGTCAAGAGAATGTGAGTCTAGCCTGTTTCTCAGTAATGCGCCCAGCCTAACCCCATGCAGCACCCCAGGAACACCGGGTGGGGGCAGGGAGGAGAGAGCAAGGATCTGGGTCCTCCAGCCCCTTCAGTCATTAGCTCACCATGCCACCATGGGGACAGTATTTAGCCTCTCTTGGGCACTCTGAAAAACAACTAAGGGAAATTTTGCCTCCTCTCCCCAGGAACATTCAGTGTCTTGTGACATTTTTGGTTGTCACAATTGGAAGGTCGAAGGAGGAGTCACCATTGGCATCTAGGGGCAAAGAGCAAAGGTTCTAAATTTATGACAAGGTGGAGTGTAGGGCAGCCCCTTACCAGTGAGTGCTCCTGCTCCAAACATCAGCCGTGCTCAGGCTGATAAGCCCTGCTACAAAATGAGGGGCTCACCCTTCTAGACCTGGCCCTCTGTGACATTCCCTTACGAGAATGAGCTTGCACATACAAACACAGATCACTTCCAGTCTGGGGCGGACAAAGGCTCATGAACAGGTAGATGTTGAACCCTGAAGGGTCAGTAACATGGGAGTTGAGGCGGGGGGGAGGGTACTCCACTTGGGGAGCAGTGAGCAGAGGGTGAGGGCAGGTAAGTATAGATAAGGTCATAGCCATGGAAAGGTAAGCGGTTGTTCTGCCTGGGTGTGAGCGAGCTATAGAAAAAGCCATCTCTAAGCATGTTCTCAGGGCAAGGGGCAGGACAGAAATCAACATGCTGCTCATGAATATGCCAGTTTTCTCTCCTTCCAGGACATGGCATGGCTGTATTTCTCCTCAGATAAAGTCAGGGTTGGTATGTGATCCTTTTGCTGTGGAATGGTGAGCAGAAGTGTGAATATTAATTGCTGGGTGGAAGCATATTTTCTTTTCTTTCGACACAGTGGCCATCACCATTCAAGACAGTGATTACTTCATCATCCTGGGACCTTAGAGCTGAGAGACCTTATTAACCCACCATGGATATGGGTAAGAGATAATCTTTGTGTTTTAAGCTACTGAGATTTGAGAGCCGTTTGTTACTGCAGCAGAACCTGGCTATACTGACTGATTTAGATGGATATCCCTGGTGGTACCTGAGATGATTGCAGATAGTACACAGAGATGGTATTAAATTGTACTTTATCTGTCATGGAGAACACTCTCCCTCTTGAATGTATCTGGATTATACCAGGAAGTCTCAGCATGGTGCCAGGTTGTCGTTAATGCCCATCCAATACAACCTCTGCTCTCTGTTTAACAAAGTTAGAGTGGGAACAGGATCAGGTTTCTGTATTTAGCTAAAATTTCATAGGGTAGTCTTAAAATTGAATTTAATTTGAAGGTTGGCTTCTATATATGGCAAGGGATTATAGTTTTCTACTTACGGTAGTGATATAAAATTTTTAAACTTTTAAGTAAAGAAAGTAAGTCATTATAAAGACACAGAAAGCCAATAAAACATAGGTGTTACCTACGTACAGCAAACATAAAGAGCTCACAAATCACTGAAGCTGGGGGAGCAGAGCTCACGGTACATGGCAAACTCTCTGTAGAAGCACAGCAGTTCTGTCAAGGCAAAAGATGTAGCAACAATATTTCCAGGTATTCTTTTAACAATTAGAAAAAGTCAGCTGTCACACAGTGTGATAGAGTCCCATGTTCTCTACACCATCCAGTGCGTGGTGGGCAGCAGGTTCCCCACCAATGTGTACCAAATGGCGGAGCAGCCAGCAAGACTTGGTCAAGTCCATGTGCCCCCTTAGCATATTGCAAAGCCTCAGTGTTCACCTCTGGGAGGAAAGCAGAGCTCTAACTAGTTCTGCAACTGGAGGGTGAGGAAAAGTGAGGTGCTCCAGTGTGGGGACCGGGTGGACGAGCAATCATAGAAGACAGGGCTACTAGCCAAACGATAAGGGGAAGAAATCCCAGGTAATGTGTGCATGTGTGTGTGTGTGCGTGCACGTGCGTGTGTGTGTATAGTGGGTGTGTTAGAAAGTACAGTGGCGGGCCAGTAGGTGATGTAGTGGTTAAGGCATTGGACTTCCGCGTGGCCAACCCCAGTTTCAGGTCCCAGATACAGCAGCTTGAAAATCACACCAGGCACATGTGTATGCCCTATGGTAAAAACCCAAACCCAAACCAAACCAAACCAAACCAAAACTAAAAAAAAAAAAAAAAAAAAGGAAGGAAAAAATACTGAGATTTAATGAGTTTTAAGTTATTTGCACGAGACATGCACTGTAACTGTACCCCTCCCCAATGGCTGAGTTGCACACCTGCATTTGCATAGCCCAGCTGGACTCTGCAAAAGAGAAGGGGAGACTGAAGAAATCTTGAGGAGGACCATGGAATTGGGGGTAAGAGGTAGTTCTACCATGACTCCAAGAATCGAGGAGGTGGTAGCTGCCTTCCAGGTTACGTATGAATGAATGGACAATGACTAACACACAGGGCACTGTGACATCCAGGCGCACTTCTGAGTGTCCATGAACAGGGGGGTAGCAAATCTTATTTTTCAAAGATGGCTGTACCAAGATCTCCCGTTGCACATGCTCTTCTACAATGGGACCCCGACTTTTACGGAGAGGCGGCGTCTACATCCCCTTTCCTTATGTACATGTGGGCTTGAGAAGGCTTTCAGCAATACAATATGGTGAAGCACTCATATGTAACACCCAAGACTGCATCTTAAAGGGCACGGCGCCTCCTTGTTTCCTGGGACACTCGCACTCTGAACTACCATATAAAAGGTGTGGCCACTCTGAAGCTGCCATGCTGTGGGAGAGCTAAGCCATGTGGAGTGGCCACATGCAGGAGCTCTGGCCTGCAGGCTTGGTCTTCATGTAATCCCAAGGCAGACCTTTGAATGATTCCATTCTGCAGTTGTCAAGTCACCTTCCGGCTCTGCATTTCTCCAGAGGTCCTGACAGCAAGGAGCCAGCCATGCAGTACCTTCCCCGAACTCCTGGCTGGGTGCTCCAGAATTATAAAACAAGATCTCCTTTTCAAAGAGACTCTAATGGCTTTCCTCTCTGACAAACCACTCTCTGGCTTGGTTGACAACTTTGGTGGGATAATACTGCATGCCGACGCAGTATAAGAAGGGAACGGCGTGCAAAGGAAGGCACAGGGGATACGGAGTTTACCACTCATCGAGCTACGGCATAGCATGTCATTTTCTACCCAAAGGCCTACAGAAACTTTAAGAGCCATTTCCGGAAGTGGATTAAAAAGGCTACCAGCTAACTTTCCCCTCTACTCACTACAGCCCCCCATCTCTGCCTGGCTACAGAGGTTGGGAAACCACTCCTGGGGAAGTCCACCTCCATGTGAGGGCCAGTCACAGATGAAGGCAGTATGTTGGCTGACACAGCTTTTCAAGTGCCATCCAATGTCTGTTTCCATTGATTTCGCCCAAAGCTGCATGACAATTATCGTTAGAAGTCCTAACTGAGAAGGAGGGTTTATCAGCAGCCAGGGATTCGCCTATCTGGACGACACCAGCAGGCAATGTCCAGCGAGGGCCCTTGTCTCCTGCCTGAGAAGGAGCCATTCCGCATTCTAGAGGCCGGAGGCAGCTCCTTTCAATGGAGGGCCACGCCTGTGTCTTAATAACAAAGTCGTTGCATGTTGGAGTCTCACTGCCCTTAAAGGTTTCCCTGACATGTGACCCAAGAGGATTTGGGGACCTTTGCTGACCACAGCCTAGAAGGAATAACTGAGTGAGGCTAAGTTGGACTGTGGGGAAGGGATCTCTGAGAAATCTATGTTATAAATCAACTCTGAAAGTACTTTGTCATCCAGAGCCTTGGGACGAAGGAATCGAGTTCTGCTTCTCCCGCTTACTGGAAAGTTATTCAGTAAATTTTGAGTTTCCCGAAGCGGAGTAATATGCAGCTAGTTCATTCCACAGAACCTGAAACCTCAGTCTCAAAATACTTCCAGGCAGATCTAGCCCATAAGGGAGCTGCTGCCACCTACGGGCCAGTTACCATGCTGCAGCCCAGCTCTATGAGATGCTCTAAACGCCCAGACAAAAAGCATCATCAGGAGCCGAGGGATTTTTAAGATACTATATAAACATGAACAGTTGTTAACACAGTATTTTTTTTACAGGGAGGGAATGCAATCTCTTCAAACCAGAGACAAAAGTCATTTAGTTGTGTGCGAGAAGATGGAGAAAATTGTCTTAGAGAAGTTTCTCTCAGAGGAAGCTTCTGTGTGTGGAGGAAATGAATACTCTGATAAGACCCTTTGGTTGAAAAGTAAGACCCCAGAGGCCATGATCCAAAAAGTGTAACTGATCTCTGAACTGCCTGCGAGGGAGGTGGGCCCTGCAGCTGGTTATAATGGATCTGGCAGGGTAGACATATTTGAGGAAAAGCTGCATGGCTTGGCCCAGTAGAAAGAAGATGGAGCATTTGTGGGGGATTTGGAGAAGAAGACTACCAGGGACCCATGAGAAGGAGGGACTGTGGTCCAGGCATGTCTGGTGAGGACTTGTGCTATGGGGAGCTCGTGACCACAAGTCAGAAGACTTACCTCATGAAAAGCTGTTTTGACTTTTTTGTGAAAATGGGTCAGGAGTGAGAGTGTGAGCTGATCTTGATTCTAATAGAATCTTGGAGTTGAGAGGGATTTTAAAAGAGCTTATTAAGCCCATCCCCACCTAAAGTAGAAGCCCCTTCTCAGGCACCCAAGGAGGTGTGAGTAGTCTTTATTCTAATGCTTCCAGGATGGTGAGCTTGCAGGACAAAGAGGCCAGTGAGGAACTTCCAGGATTTGATTTGTTGTCTGAGGTGAATCGTAACTAATGGAGTTACCGCCCTTCATGGTGTGGAGGGGAGGGTGTAACAGCCTCAGTGCCTACTGGGTGCCGTGTTCCTACTGGGTGTCGAGCACGTAGCTTACATTATCTCTTTAGAGTCTGTGGGAAGTCATTCCT